TCTGGATCAATTTAAATAGTTTCCTCATCTGAGTTCAATCATCTCTTTTAAGATGCTGAATTGTCATACATCGGTAATGAGTTTTAACTGCCCCTTTTGGCCCATGAACAAGCTTCGAATACAAAAGTTTCAATACTTAACTCAAGAAATATAATACATTTTAAATGCCTCAATGCTGAAAACTCCTAGAAAGTATATGCTATGAATGCGTGGCTCTGCTGACCTAAGGAGAGCTGACTGCTCTGCTGTGATGTGATAGAAATATAAGCAAAGATAAAGGAAACTTCTGGGGTACTGGGAAGGAACTGGTAGCTGTTGGAAGGAGGAAAACCATATGCAAGATTGAAAAACAGATCTAAGCTGAGACAAGCAGCTAGAGAAGTCATTCTCCTACAGCTGTGACTGAAGACTGATTTGTTAGAGACTCATGCCTCTTTGACAGCAGTACATAATATTAATCTGCAGAAGATAACAGTGTAACACATCATTGAGGATAGCATCATCTCCCTAAGTAAATTAATCCTGCTGATGAAATGAATTTTTATAGCTAGCTCTTCTGGGGTTTTCCTCCTTGTTGTCTCATCACTAATAGCCAGAATTTACTCAGCTTATAACTAGAATGGAATAGAATTGCCTAATCCAAGTATGAAATGTTATTCTTTGAAAATGATGTTTCTCCTTGCCCAAAAATTTTTCCGGTCTGATCCGCAGAACAGATTTCCTGCACGGCATTAATTAGAATGAAATGTATTGCCTAGTTCTTACTTGGGCTATTGCTAGACAGAAACCATGCATTTCAAGGATTGTCCACATCAAGTCAGTGAAAAATTCTTACTATTTGTTTTGAAATTCTGAACAGAGAGATGGTATTTCAATCATCTCAGGATTTATACTGCTTCTCAATAGCCAGACTCTGCAGTGTTTTTATTCAGTTACTTCTCCTAGTTGGATACTTCAGTAAGGCTAGACTAGATTGTATTTACCCTATGAAAGGACTGTTGTGGGATTTAACTGTGAAGACTTGAAGTTTCTAGTAAACTTGTCCATTGTTTTCCATTCTTGCCCCAGTTCTGCTCTTGCAGAATCAGCAGCTAATTTTGCATAACTGGTCCTCTGATAAACAAAATACACTCTTATCTCTGCTTCTTCTTCACACGTCTTTAACCCTTGCTTCCTGCTTGCTAGAATGAGTGTTTTATTTTGTGTTGTTATGAAACCACCCCTGCTCAGACTGTATGTTAACACTGATGATTCTGTGATAAGATACTGTACAACTTTACAGTGTCACACACTAAGCACAGCAGCGTGCGGGAGCTCACATGATGGTCATTTAATATCCATGACTCACAGTCCACAGGACTAGGACTCTGGCCAGCTGGGATTTGTTCTAAGTGGCGTGAAATGACAAACAGTGCATGAGATACAGCTCAGATACCAAACATGGTGGCCAGACATTTAAAAAAATATCTCTTTGCCTTCTCTAACAGAAAAAATAACAAGTCATGCAGAAGATTCACTCAATACCTATAGAGTATATATATATTTATATTTGATAATGTACAAAACGTCAGGTGCCAAAATGAAGAAAGTGGTATCTTGCCCTTCATAGGCAGGTTTCGCACCTTTCGTAATCTCTGGCTGTGTTCGTTTCTTACCTTTGTTTTAATTTCTTGGTTTACTACGGAAATTAATAACTACTCTAACCACGCTTGTTCTTTCTGCCTGATTTTTGTATTTAAAACTGCATTTTCTGTGGCTTGCTATTCAGTTGGGATGTTATATAGTTGCAGAGTGCAGGAGGGATTAGTTGTTACTCTGTGATTCACCCAGTCCCTGAGGAGAGCTATATAAAGATCATCCTCATCTCCTTGGCCCCAGGGAAGCTAGGGGGCAGATTATGAGCTAGCGGAAAAGATGTAGGTCTCACCATCTGCAAAGAGGTTCCAGGAGTACACATCTCCCTGTCCTTACGTTGTGCACAGCTGGAAAAAAGGTGTGCTCCATCTCTCAACTACTGATAGCATAGACAAGGGAGGAGAGTTTGAAGAAAAACAAAACCACTGGAAGTTCTCTTTCCCACTGTGCAACTGTTCCTTTCACTGGAATTGCTCAAGGTTTCCTCTTCCAAAGGGAAAAAGATGATGTGGAAAGGCAAAACTGAGGGATCTGTTGTTTACAGATGCCTTTTCTCCATAGCCTGGGAATCCTGAAATACAACTGCCTTTTAAGGGCAGGTTATTTTCAACCACTCCCTTCATTTATGTTCCTGTTAAACCCATGGCTTAAGTGGGGCTTCTGTGCGGGAGAGATTTTGCACTGGCTGTTTGCCCAGGGATGGATTGTAGCAACAGTAGACTCGGACAGAAATAGGTGGTTATGTATGTAGAACTCTAAGTCTTCAAATGAGAATATCACTGCTAGAGGTCGAGGTTTATGCTTGCCAGTATTTCCCTCATTTAGTGAAGCTGACTCTTGCTTGCCAATGCTGTCTATTTTCGTAGCACGATCACTATGGTGAGGATTTTCTCATTTCAGTCCTTGCACAAATGATGCAACTTTGGATACTTTCGCCTCTGAAACTGTTTCATTAAGAATTTCAAACTTTATGCTCTCATACTAAAATTTCTTTCAGACTATTTGTTTACATGTGAAAAGTATTCTAAAAACACTCCTATAAAATATTAAATTGTGTTTTGTTTTTTTACATGTTTTATCTAAGGTTTTGACATTTTGGGACTTACTTGTTCTCCAGAAATCTTTTCTAGACTCTCAGAAGCAAAACTTTGAATTCTAGAAAAGAAAATCTTAAAAAAATATGCAAATATTTTTAATCTGCTTTTAAAAAAACTTGGAATTATGTACATAAAACCAAAAGCATGATAACTGCTCCTTACTTTGCCCTTCCATGCCCTTTAAGGGTGACTCGAGATATCATATGGAAAATCTGAATAGAGAAGGAAACTGAAAGCTGACAACTACGGCAACACCTGCTTCAGATTTTGTGTTTCTTGTTGCACATTTAGTTAAATTTGCCCATCCATTTTTGCATCACCGTTTTGTCCAATACCTCATCACATGCAGCAGAGTTTTCCTACTTCATGCTGTACATAAATTGTAAAGTTTCCGCTAAATGTAGGTTATTTATTCAATATAAAAAGCCTTTCCAAAATAGATGTCTGACCTTGTTACAACAAGAACAGTTATATTTTTTTTCAATTTTGAACTGAGTTTTTCTGTATTACTACTACCTTTACTAGGGCTTCACTGCTTTCGATTTTGTTTTTAATATCCATTAGGTTAAAATGTTAAATACAAGTTGCTGTTCATTTTTTCTGAAAGCAAACTCAAAGAGCCTTGTACAAGGAAGGAATGAGATTTCTAATGGTCCTCAGTTCCTTGGAGAATTGTCTTAGCCTTAATGACACTTTGAGAACTTAGAGAGCCTTAGAGAACACTTTGTCCTTGCACAGGCAACTCTTCCTTAGTTATAAGGGGATACTCACACAGGGATTACCAAACAAAGAAAGTCCTTGAAGCCTGAGTCCAAATTTTGGAACTAATATTTTTGAACTTGAACTTGATATGGTTCTCATGTGAACCACATGAAATTCAACAAGACCAAGTGCAAGTTCCTACACCTCTGTTAGGATAATCTAAAGCATAAATACAGGCTAGATGGAAAATGTTTGAAGGCAGGTCTAAGGAGAAGGACTTGAGAATGTTGGTGGATTAAAAACTCAATATGAGTCAGTAATGTGCACTTGCAGCCCAGAAAGCAAACCCTATCCTAGACTGCATCAAAAGAAATGGGACCAGCAGGGCAAGGGAGGTGATTCTCACATTCCATTCCACTCTTGTGAAACCTCAATTGTAGTAGTGTGTTCAGGTCTGAGGTCCCCAACAAAGGAAAGACATGGACCTTTCAGGCCATGAGTATGATCAGAGGGCTGTAGCAAAGACAGGCTGAGTGAGCTGGGCTTGTTCAGCCTGGAGAAGAGAAGGTACTGGGGAGACCTTTATGCCTTTGACAGATCTTTGACACCTAAACAGGATCTACAAGAAAGCTATTGAGGGACCCTTTGTCTGGGAATGTAGTAACTGCAAGAGGTAATGGCAATAAATTAATAATGTAGATTTAGATTAGATATAAAGAAAAAAATTCTTTACTCAGAGGGTGGTGAAGCAGTGGAAAAGGCTGCCCAAAAAAGTCGTTGCTCCGTCCCTGTAAGTGTTCAAGGCCACACTGCATGGGGCTTTGAGCAACATGGTCTAGTGGAAGGGGTCCCTGACCGAGGCGGAGGGATTGGAACTGGATTATTTTTAATGTCTCATAAAACCTAAACCTTTCTATGAGTCTATTCTATGATTCTGTACCTAATAATATTAACGTTAAAGCAGTGATACAGAGGAATGAGTATCTTTTCTTCACGTTTGTATTGCATTATGCATTTTATACGCTTTTGTTTGTTTGTTTGTTTTCAGAAAGGAGTTTTCCTGTGTTCTTTGAGAAGATCAGTCAAAAGGCAATATTGAAATAAATGATAAAAGTTGTAATGACTTCACTAGGTCCAGGATTTTACCATAGAATAATGAAAAACAAAAATGAACAGAAATGAGCAATGCAATGCACTATCACTCTTGAGATCTGAAAGGTCACTTTTGATATGAATGTTGGACATCAACAGAACACTACTTTAGAAGTGAAGGATGTGCTATACATGATTTTGAATCCACATGATGCTACTTATTGGATTTTTTTTGTAGTTGATTTGCATTTTGTTTGCAATAATGTGAGAAATGGAGAAGTGAATTTGTAAACATTTCTTCCTTATCATTAGTCTATATTGCTAAGATGTATTTAAAAATTGGGCTGTCTGGTCTCAATTTCTCTACTGTGACAGTCCAATCCATGTTTATTCAAGGTTACTGAACACTGAACCAAGTAATTTCTAAAGGAACATTTCAGCCACCTTTTGATGGTAACCATTTCTTTCAAGCAGCTTCTGCTGGATATTAATCTACTGAAACTCCATCTTGGATCAGCCATGTCCGAAGTTTACTGATTTTTCTCTGGTAGATGTATGGATATTGATCAGGTTTGCACAAATTTATTTTTTCTCTACCTTTTTCTCCACCTTTTTCTATGGTTTCTGCCACAAAAAGGGAAAGAATTAGCACTGTTTTCACTGGATAAAATCTGATTGTTAGTTTACTGAGACCTACCATGCAAAGCTAGCAATTGTATCTTTTACCCAAACTCCTGATAGTTTCAACAGGCTTCTAATTGAAGGGTCTAATTCAAAGCATTCTGCCCACTAAATTGACAACACTGCCTCTCTGTGCATTAACTATTAGCCCAGCTTTCCTTCCTTCTACTGCTCTATGCAATTTCTTCTATCCCATCTGTTGCTTTAAGAGGTACACATATAACTGTGAAGGTTCAGATGATGTATCTTCAATTTGCATAACTTAACAGTTAAGATGTGATGACCTTTGTAGTTGCCATCATGCTAGTTTGATTGTCTGACAGGACTCATGATTAGAAGATCATGTATAGATGGAGATATTATTTTGTAGTACTAGAGCAGTCAGAACTGGAAGCTGTTCTGAATAGGTATTTTGAGGAGTACATGTGAAATGTCAAGTTGGAGGAACTTGACAAGAGGGCAATAATCTAAAAGGATTTTATTAGACTCTTGATGTGTGATAGCACTACATGAACAGAGCAGTGGGGATATGTATGTGGAAGAGCAAGTAGTTGGTAGAGAACTCCCCCTCCTCCCTTTGTCATCCAAGATGATTAATGAACCTCTCTGTGGCTCTGTCCTGGTCCCATCAGAGAAAGAATCCAGTTAGCTTTCTCATAATGGCAGAGGTAATTAAAAACGGGATCAACTTCAGAGGAACATAAAACACACACAAAAATCCGTCTCTTTAATGATATCCCCTACATCCTTTACTGGCAGGGTTTCTGCTAATCTAATACCTGTTAATTTTCTCTCTAATTAGGGCTACAGCTTACAAGACGCTATTTTATATTTAATGTAGATATGGTTTTGGGGGTTGATCCTCTATTTTAGAAGAAGCAAGTAAAAGACTAGAAGACAGGATACACAAGACAATGGAAGATCAATAGCTCTTTTCATCTTGGTTCAAAAACAGTATGAAAGATGCATGGAGTTTACAGTATGAACAGAAGGAAATTTTGTAGGAAAAAAGCTCAGTGTAGCCATGTATGTTTAGAATTTCAGTGAAACCATGTTTTAGACAATGTAATATAAAAAATTGCATGTCTTTTGTAAAATCAGAAAGTAAGTGCCACTGTGCTGTTAGCAAATGGAACTGTGAATATCTAGTGTCCTCTTCTCCTCTCTCTTTCGTCTTTCCAACTCTGAAGTGAGGCAAGGAAAACACCAGGCTGCTGGACGAAGACCAGCTCTGAAAACTATATGTACACATATTTTCTCTTTTGAGGTCAAATGTTCTGCTTGAACAGTAATCGGAAATTTCTCAGTTTCTTAGGTTTTGATCAGTTAAATATTTGTTGAGCCTGAGTATTTTCCAAGTATTTTTAATTGATTTTAAACAGTGTTTAAAGATGTTTTGTAGAAATTTTTTTGTAGAATTCCTGTTGGACTTGCTGGATTCCTGGCAAAGCAGGTATTTCAGAGTGTTTCAGAGGAAATCCAAAGGGGAATCATGGAATCTCAGAATGGTTTGGGCTGGAAGGAACCTTAAAGCTCACTCAGCCCATTCCCTGCTGTAGGCATGGCTGCCACCAGTTCAGCTGCCCATGGCTCCATCCAACCTGGCCTTGAGCACCTCCATGGATGGGGCACAGCTTCTCTGGACCTGTTCAGTATTTCCTAACTATGGATTGCCAAATATGACCAGAGTGTGAAGCTTCCTAAAGCTGTAAGTCTGAAAGCCCCAGGAGGCTCTGAAAACTCTGCATGTTCCTATCACAGAACTGAGATTAAGATTTTAAAAGTCTTGGAACATACTTCCAAGGTCTGTGGCTGGAATACTTTCTTTGTGATGAATTTGTCACAGAACCATGAATCACTGAAGCTGCCCAGAGCCTATAGAAAGCATCCTGCAAACACAGATTTTGTGTTGGAACAAGATTAGAAAGTGTTCAGTGGTGGCTGTACTAAGATTATTTTGAAAACCAGGTCATTCTAGGATATCAGCCCACTAATATAGCTTAATGTGTCTCACAAAAATTTCTTGCTAACAGAAAATTCTCTATTTTTAGCTCTACTTAGTGCAGTCAGTCAGAATTTTTGTCTGCGGTTCATTATGAGAAGTAACTTCCAGTTAGGTTGAAGAGCAGTGTGACCAGCAGGAGCTTCAGCCTCATGGCTGCACTGTGAAATCACATTCCATCTGGAACATCCTCAGCTTTTGTTGAAGGAGAGTAGACTAAAAGAAAAGACTATTTTCTACAGTTTTTTTTTTTCAGATACTTGCTGAAATTACATTTAAAAAAAAAAAAAAAAGTATTAGGGCATTCGGTGTTTATCGTGCTATTTACAGAAGTAATTTCTACTATACAATATCAATAGCTTGATCCAGCTGAAATGAGTATATGGAGCTTTATTAATTGCTTTGTTCCTTAAAGGTCACACTGGACTCACTTGCAAATATGGAGGAATAAACTTCAGGAATTCACTTGAAGAACTAGAACTTGAAGAAAATTTGCAAGTATTATCATGCTGAAATGGAGAATTGGTTTTTGCCAGGAGATGAGTAGGATGTTATAACAAGAGGATGCCTGAAAAGTCTTTGAATTCTAAAGGACCTTATGAACATCTGTAGTGCTTGTAGTAATGCACCAATTAGGAGGAAATGAAGTTAAATTTTTGTTTTCTGAACTCTTCTGTATGTCTTTCTGTCTTTCTGTCTATCTTCTCTTCTATGCATAAAGATCTGCTGCCAGAGCTTGCACAAGAACAAATAAAACTAAAGGATCTGGAGGTAACAAACTGTGTGTGATGGAAAAAATTCAGCTGGAGTGTTCCATGGCATTTTGGGCATAATACTTCAGAGTTTATGTGGGCCAAATATAGAAGTGCTCTGCAGAGAAAAAAGAATAACTGGAGACTGTGACCAGCAAGAAATTAAAAAAAACCACAAAATCTCAGAAGAGAACTTCAAAGGAGGGTGGGGTCCTCAGGTATAAAATATTGCTCAGTTGTACCAATACAGGAAAGAATGGTCTGTTCTGGAAGCATTCAAAATAGATAGCACAATAGATCTAAATATGAACAAAATAAACTGTAGGTAAACTGCAGTAAAGGAGATTCAGACCAAATCAAAGGAAAAAAATATTAAAGGGCATTCTAGTACTTAATTATAGTTCCTAGGAAAGCTGTTACATTTCCATCATTAAAGTTGCTATTTGCCATTGCTTTAGGCAAGTATCTCTCAAGTATGGCTGGATGTGAGTTAAAAGAACTAGGTAGACTTTTGAGAACTTTTCTAACCACAACTTCTATGAGGGCTGCTCTGAAAATAATGCCTCCTATTTTATTATGTTGGCCCACACCCTCAGAGGTGAATCTTGGTGGTATGGCAGTAAAGGTTGAACCTTCCCAATATTTCGTTACATGTTGTTACTATGTGAAAGATGGCAGGAGGGGGGCAATCTGACAAAATGGTGTCTGACATGGAATTGCAGATGGAGCAAAGGTATGTGACTGAACTCCTCCATGCAGAAAAAGTGCACTCACTGACATTCATCGATGCTTACTGAATGTTTATGGAGACCAAACAGTGGATATGAGCATGTTGAGGTGGTGAGTGGTATGTTTTAGCAGTGGCAACAGTTGTGAAAGACAAGCCATGTTCTGGATGGCCATGTAGATTTTTACAGGCATGGCATGCTCTTGTTCATTGCTGGTGGAAATGTGACTATGCTGAAAAGCGGTGTTTTGTAGCTGAGAATTTGCTCTATTAAATAATGTTATTGTGCGCTCTGTATCTGTTCTAGTTTCCACAGAAATAAACAGAGAAAAAAAAGGAGGCATTACTTTCATAGTGACCTACATATACCATGATTCACAAGCAGGGAAGGAGAAGTTTATTACAGTTTGAAGCATAAAGGTATACCAAAAGATGATGGTCTTTTATATCATTCTTTTATTGCTAAATATTATGTTAAAAAAAAAAATCAAGGAATTATTCCTATCTTCCCTAACCTATGTGGATTACAAAAATATAGCTGGCCACTGTTCTACTTCATCAAATGCGATGAAGCCCCTATTATTATTCTCTCTATTCCTGCTCTATTATTAAAGGGCAAAGAATAAAGATATAATTTTCTCTCTCCAATAGTTTTAGGCATTATGGCTCAGGTATTTTTCTCAACTATTGCTCTCTGATCTTGAGCAAGACTCAAAACCTTTATAATACTCCCATTATACAAAAGTCATTATTCTCTTGCCTCAGAGACTAAGGCATAAGTTACTCAATTTCTGCAGACATTTGATCAACGTATTACAAGGAAATATAAGATATTAATATCTTATTTATTGTTCCATTCATGTATCCATTCAGAACCCCCACTTTTCTGATTTTGCAGAACGTTTCCAGCCTTGTTGTGAAAACAATTTCAAGGGTGCCCGTTTTGTGATTGACATTTTCCCTTTTTTTGCTTACTTTTGTAAGGAATGAGATTCATGCAATCCTGCTTTGTTTTTTCTTTTCTCTTTGCCTTTTTTAATGTGTGTATATACCTTTTGTGTGAGCTTGTCAGTTTTGGTTAAGTTCTGACAGAGGACCAGAGACAATGAACGTACTCTGTTCCTTGCTTCGTTCAGAGACAACGGCTGTTGGCTCCTCAGCAAAGTTTTAATTCCTGCATAGACACCCTTTCTAGTCATTAATAGTGGGGTTAAGAAGTTTATAAGTCAGTTATCACAAGAGCAAATGCTGTTCAAAATTAGGCTGCATCAGTTCCAGTGCTCACCCAACTACTTGTTTTCTTGTAGAGAAATTCAATTAAAAAAAGTCATGATCAGAATCCTAAGGATGAATTTGAAAACAACAAAAGGTGAGAAATACAAAAGTAATTCTGTGCTCTTGCGTAGAAACCAAGCATAATGAAAACACTCTATTAAGATGGTACTTTGTGCTAAATTTTAAAGTCTTTGCAGATTGTCTTTAAATCTAGTGTAATCTGAGGCCTTTAATATTCTCCTAGTCCCCCGTAAGAGTTAGTTCGCTCCTGGCTTTTCTTGGTGTGAGGAAAGCAAATGTCATGTTGGCTGACTGCCTCTTCTCTTGGGCATGGTCATTGCAGATTGGCCCTAACCATTGTTTGTTTGTTTTTCAGATGTTCTGGGGCAAAACTCCGGGACAGGAAATAGCTGAGCCTGTCTGACACCACTGCAGCGTTAGACTCACTGGAGCAGCTGGGGCTCATTACTTCATTGGGTATTCCTTGGCTCAGGCCAAACTCTCTTGGCTCTTTTTCACCTCTTCTGATGCACAGCTCCTAGAAAAACTGTGTCAAGAGCCTGTGTGCATGAATGCTCTTAATAGCACTGATAAGCATCACTGATAAGCACCCCCCTCTATTCCCTCCACTCAAGGACTGCGTTACGTCTCAGACCCTGCCCAAGTTATGCTATAAATATGCCTGCTTATAGCTCCAGCTGTGTTACAGCAATGCCTGGCAATGGGCCCTTTTCATCTTTTTTCATCTGGCTGGATCCTAATTTATGGACTGAGTTCCTAGCTTGGTGTTGGACCTGCCTTGATGTTGTGAACTTGCCTGGTGATTGTGTCTGACTCTGTCAGAGCTGACCCTCCCTTGCTTGCTTGTGTTTCTGGCTTCATATGGGAACCAATACTATTTGATAACTTGCATCTGTCCCCCACCGCTCCCTTGCAAAATGGAGGTTACATTGTAAGAGTAAAAACCAGGGACAGTTTGGGACTCCAGGAGATGAAAGGCTACAGTTTGTCTTAAAAGGGTAGAGGTGCTTCCACTTCCTGACCTTCCCTCTGTTGCTCTTGTGAGGAATTAAATTAACCCAGACAGAACCATGATGATTTTGACTGCCATGTGTACATGAAATGAAATTTGCCCTTTTCCTTATTCTTGCAGATCCAAGAAGTCCTGGCTAAAATCAGGCGTTTACATGCATATTAGTGTTTACATGTACAGTATGGGCAAGGAGTGCTACTGTGGCATGACTTGCCCTAGCCCTGCCCCAAAAAACGTAAATAGCCTTCTGGCAGGAGATACTGGGGTGCAGATTCTGTGACTTTGTATTATAGGTGGAGGAATGGAGAGGGAGGGAGAGCTGGATATTTTTCTATTCGCTTTCCTGTGCGTAACACACGTTTCTGCACGGATATTCAGCAACAGTCATTGATGATCGCATTAGCAGTAATGTCTCTTGATGTTTGCAGTCCCTCTTAAGGAGGACAGGAAGTGAAATACTGTGAGTAAAAAGAGCTGAAGGTGGGAGGCTGGTGGAAAGCGAGTAGGTAATTAAGAGATGCCTTCTGTGTGGAAAAGTTCCAGCCATTCTGGCATTTTCTGTCCAAGAGGAGCCAATAAGCAGGTGCCCGCAGAAGAACAGGAGAACAGACCAGTTCTGGAATAATTATTCCCTTGGTACATTCTTCCTCAACAGTTCTGCTGACCTCCAGGTTAGAGACTTCCTGGTCAGGAATAGGAACAGTTCTGTCTGAAGACTCCCAGCATATATTTGCTGTCTTTCTGAGAAGCATATGTACACTGGGCCTACCAAACGCGATGTGACATACATATTTTGAATGTGTATTGTGCAGGTGTGCCCTCTATTTTTTCCTGTTGTTCAAGGGCTTGTTCAGAAAAATATGGTTATGGTTATGGTTATGGTCCAGTACAACACCTCTCCCCATCTGTAGCTCCTTCATTTCCATGAGGTTTGCTGGTCAGGTTTGAATTGTCTGTTTTCCTGTGCTTTGTGCTCTTCAATGCAAAGGTGCTGCAGAACTTTTCCAGCTGATATGGGTTTTTTTTTAGTTGAGCATAATTTCTTTTGCTGGATAGAATTGAAACAATACGTTATCTTGTACCCTAACTTCTGTGTTCCTAGAAAAATTGGTCTTCCATGACTGATGGAAAAGTAACTCAATTGCTTTTCTGAATTGTCAGCTACATCTTGCGCATCTCTACACAGTAAGTAAAAGTCCAGCTTCCTTTCTGATATTTCACTAAACTTCTCTATCTAGGAATTCTAATTCCTGTGTTTTTCCCATCCAAATTGAAGATTGTCTTTAACTAGCTTCTGTAGACAAAATCAGGTCTAAAACAGTTATTCTCTTGAGCTAGCTACAGTAAGCTCGTATATTGAAAACTACGAGGCATATGGCTAGATGGGCTGATTAGGTTATTTAGTGACATGAATGAATTTTTATTCATTATTTTAATTTTACTTTTTATTCATTGTTTGTGAAGATTTTCAACAATAACAAATATCTTTGGCTTTAGTGCTCTCCTTCTCTTTCAGTAAAACCCTACCAGACAACAGGAGGGAGAGCAGAACTTTACTAAAGTTGCACCAGGGGAAATTCAGGCTGGATGTTAGGAAATACTGCTTCTCTGAAAGAGTGGTCAGGCACTGGAGTGGGCTGCCCAGGGAGGTGGTGGAGTCACTGATCCTGGAGGAGTGCAAGGAACGTTTAGACGTTGTGTTGAGGGACTTTGGTTAGTGAGAACTATTGGTGAGAGGTGGACAGTTGGACTGGATGACCTTGTAGGTCTTTACCAAACTTGGAGATTCTATGATTCTATGATGGCTGTAGAGATAGGTTTTTTGCCTTTATACTGTTTTTGCAAGAGTGGTAGAGACAAAGTCATGGGAATTGCTTGCATTAAAGTTATGTTTTGTGGACTAACATAAGCAGGATGGTAGTTCTCTGGAATTCATGTGTTGTTTTGAGATTACATAACATGGATTCCATCCACAGAGATGGGGCCTGAGGTTTGCAATTTAACAGACATTGCTGACCTTCTTTAGTCACTAGTTTGGGGCTGGCCAATGCTATACTAATACCATTGGTTACCCAGAAACTGACATCCTAAAAACCAAAAATTAATGAGTTCCTTGGGCTGGCTTATGATCACTTAGTAATGTGCTATAGAGTTCTGCTTTCTAAAGCACCATGTACTTTGCTTATCTGTGATCTACTTTTATTTTTCTCCTGATTATTTCCCAGTTATAATTTTTTTTGCAAAGCTTTCTGGCAAAAACAGAGCTAGGAAAGATATCAGATGTGTTTCAGAAAAATAAAATCTGGCTCATCTTTATTGTAATGCCTTGCAAGTAAATATATAACAAAATGACAGATAAGGAAAAATGGCTACTTTCTTTTTGGGAACAGTAAAGAATACTTCTGAATTAATTATTTTCATTTGTATAGCAGTCTTCCTGTGCCTTAAAAAAATGTTTAAACTGGCAATACTTTATGTAAATTAAAAGATGTTTCTGAGTTGAATTTGATCAGTGCTTAGAATTCCACCTTAAATACTCCAAAGATGGCACTTGTTTAGGTTTCTGAAGATGGGAATATGATCTGCTAAAAATCAGACAAGTGAGCAGAAACAAACTATGACTTCTGCCCCAAGGGTAATGGAGATGGAGATGAATCCTGACAAGCACACACATGACAAGACCTAGGCAGAGCAAGAACGGGTGACTCACAAATTGTAGTGGCACGTTCTCTCCAAGGGCCTCAGTGTGCAGTAATGCCTAAAAGATCTCAACCAGGATCACATGATGCATGCAGTGGTTGGCTGACTGTTGAGCCATATAATAAAACCCCAACAAATTAAGTATAAAACAGCCTCTGGTGAGCTGTAGCCCTAATTAGAAAGAAAATTAACAGGTATTAGATTAGCAGAAACCCTGCCAGTAAAGGATGTAGGGGATATCATTAAAGAGACAGATTTTTGTGTCTTTTATGTTCCTCTGAAGTTGATCCCGTTTTTAATTAGTTCTGCCATTTTGAGAAAGCTAACTGGATTCTTTCTCTGATGGGACCAGGACAGAGCCACAGAGAAGTTCCTTAATCACCTTGATGACAAAGGGAGGAGGGGGAGTTCTCTACCAACTACCTGCTCTTGTCTTCCACGTATGCATCCCCCTACCTCCCCACTGCTCCATACACATCATGCCATCATTGGCAGAGTTGTTGCCAGTATTCTCTTTACACATCAGCACAAAGTGTTCCCTGATGTTAAAATTTTTCTGTGAAATGAACTCACACCCAGCCTCAGCCTCAATAGAACTGGATATTTCTTTCTTTTCCCACACTGTCCATTTCAGTTATCAAACTCATTCCAATCCTTTACATCTGTTTGGTGTGCAAATCTATAATATATAATGGTTTGCAGGCTCCCACGCTGCTTTTGTCAGCCTTCCCTTTTTAGCTACCCATTTGTCCATTCCACTTTTCTTTGCTTAGTCTCTTTCTTCCTTTTCTTTCTGCTCTCATTGTATCTTTTGCCTCAACTTCTCTTGCATCCTTTGTAGATTGTCTCATTCAAGTAATTCTGCCCAGTATGCAAGCTTTCATTGCTTCTTGCTCATTTTGCCAAAGCAGAGCACTGTCCCTGTAACCCCAGACACATAGATATTGAATGCAAATCTATGTACAAGTTCAGATTTGAAAAATCCTCAGGGCAGAGCAAATGACACTGATAATGGGGATTATCAGAGTTCTTTCTAAGTTTGTCAGTGATCTTTTGCTAGCCCATCCTGAGATTCTGAGTTCATGAAAGAGACACAAGAACTACATTCCCTAGAATGGATTCTGCATCTAACCATCACTCATACTGCCTTCTCAACCCATAAGCAGACCGATGGTCTATGTTCTTGTCTATTCTGCTAGGTGAAATAAAAGACATCAAATTTCATTTGCAAAAGTAGGAAGGTTCTCCCATATGCCTACTGGAACTGTACGGTACTAAACGCTTGTCCTATATGCAGTGGTCTGACTTCAGTTATAGCATAGAACTCCTCGTTTCTCATGCAGTGGCCATCTGATTATGATTACAGTGAAATTACAATCACACTTCTGAATTTCAAATTCTGCACTTCTTGCCCATCTCCCAGTCCAAAACAGCACATTTTAGGTTAAAGATGGGCTGTATTTAAAATCTCTGAGGAGAGGCCTTCTCTAAGAGCAGTCCTGTTGGAGGAACAGGTTAGACAGGCTTGTTCAGAAAAGAGGCAGTTTTCACACTGTGTTTATAAACATCCTTTGAGAAAATCAATTATGGAATTCAGATAAATGTCTGAACTCCTAAAAGGAGTGGTTGGCTCCCAGGTTCTCTGGTAAGCACAGCTCGCAGGAAGTGTTTTTAAAAGTGTTATTTCAGGATGTAATGATACATCCTAGTCTGGATAATTATATTTTGACAACACAAAGTGCTCCTATTCAAGGTCTAAAACCATTCTTTGTTTTCTCTTAGGTGTGCCCTGTGCTGATGACCATCATGTATTTCCTTCCTGTTAGATGTCACTACATTTCATGAGTGATGGCAAAGATTACGTCTGAAAGATGGAGAGATTTTGGCAAATCTGATGTCCTTTTGAAGCCACTACCCTACAAGGCACACATGGTATGAGTTGGCTGACAATATTCTGGCAGACTCTGTAGACAGCTATTGAAGTCAACTTTTGGCAAGGATTTAGGGATTTGAGTTGCTACCACATGTTTTTTATAGGTACTGTGGTTTATTTTGACATGCAAGGGGTGACATAACACTGATTTTAAAAAAGCTTTGGTTGTTACCATTTTACTTTTAAGAGCATAGACTTCAAAGGGTGGCAAATATGTTATGTAGTTTAATGAGTTACCATTTGTCACTGCAAATCAGCTGAGGAGTGTTAGCTTGTTGAGCCTGGATAACTTGATTTCTTCTAATCTTTTGTGTGTGTGTGTGTTAAGCATTATTACATTTATTAAGCAAAATATTACAAGATTATCTTGTTATTGATAACTCTGAACACAGCTAGAGTGGGTCAGCCATCCTGTGATATTAAGTGCAAGTAGCATAGCTGTATTCTTCCCTAACCCAAGCTCATTTTCTTTTCCAAATTTGAGCAATGACGACTGTACTTATGTATTTGATTCCCTATTCGTTTACAGTATCTCAGCAAATAAATGAATTAGAGAATTCCTTGTTCAGCATACAGTCCATAATACGCCAATGTGAGGGCTCCAATAAATACTTTTTAACCATAAGCTGTTGCTTGCATTTGTATTTCGTGTAACTGGATCATAAACATGAATTTATTTTCATCACATATGATGATGTTAATCTCTTTGTTTCTTCTTCTCCAGACTGCACATACACACATGTACATACATGCGCATGTGTATGCATACACACACTGTTTGTCACAAATCAGTACAGCTGGTAATTTTCAGTTCACCAGAAGCTCAGAATAGCAGAGAAATCGTTCAGTCAGGCTTAATGTGGAGAACAAGTGTTTGCACACACTCCTCACGCTCTTTCTTGCTGGAAACTATCAAAAGAGGTTTGAAAAAGAAATGGCAAAGAGAAGGGAATCAGCACATTTGTCTGTACTTTTTTATAGACATATTTCTGATATACAGGTGCAAGTCTGCCAAGGTGTAGCTGAGATAAGAAGCAGGCGTTTAGATACTGTATTGCTTTACCTGGAAATGTGGGCAGAAGTAGAGCAGGTAACTTTCCCAAGCATGAGATGCTATGCTCAGTGGATCATGTCAACAGAAAAGGCTTGAGAGATCTTCCTTGAAAAATAACTCTCTTTCCTGCCATGAAAGGCTGGAAAACTCCACATCTCCACACTCCTCTGAAGAGGCAGGGAAACACATGATCAGAAAAGGGTTTGTTCACTCAGGAAATGCAGCAAAACACACTGGGAATAAAATGGCTGGCTCTCTTTCACTCTTCTATCCAAGTACCAGACAAAAAGTCTCTTAGGGGCTATATATTCAGGTCCAGAAAAGCTAACTTATTCCAAGAGTGACCAGTAGATTCATCTGTATAAGAAAATAAGTCAGAATTGCACAGACACTGAAAACAAAATGCTTCTATTTCTTTTTTCTTTGTCTCAGGACTAAAATATTTATTCAGATTTACACGTTCATCATCAGTGAAGACAGTAGGAACTAACGAGTCTGAAGGAAACTACACAGAAACCATCTCTTGTTTTCTGTAACAAAATAACATTCTTTTTAAAGATGTAAAATCCAGATATAAACTCCACTTGTCAATATACCAGTGTTTCAGGTATTTCCTCTCTCCTTTCTATATTAACTAAGCAAGGATACTGACTATCTTAATAACTGGACTTTTATGATACAGAAGGAAAAAAAAAATCATCCATTTTGGTTTTAACATTAAGATTTACAAGTTGAACATATTTGTCTACGTGAAACAAATCTGAAATTTCATGTTTAGTGACATCTATTATGTGTACATCTGGAAGCAGCAGACAGTGCACTGAAATCCATCTTTCTTAGTCATTGGCAATATCACAGGAAGAAGGCTTAAATGAAACATGAAATACAAAAGGATTTAGCACTTTACAAATACAGATAAGTATACTTTTAATTTAGATGTACTGAAGAAGCATGGGAACCAGTTCAGTTTCTTTGAAAATGCCAAACCAATTGTTTAGCTGCTACACAGAGCTGTAGGCAAGTATCCTAGTAAATTGCTCACAATATATGAGCTTTTGTTTGTGTTACACAGTGAAGACAGACTAAATCTGAAACTGTCTCAAATTTGTTTGCAATATCATCCAATTAATTCACATCTGATATTGAATAAGCAGCTGTACTGTATTCTATTGCTATTAACTTTTGTCACTGAGCCTTTTTTCTTGTGGTGTTAGCATTCATGGCCTGGGAAATGTTGATGGGATTAGAAAGAAGCAACAAGATGGGGGAGGTCCAGCCCCACCCATGTGACAGCCCCCCTGTTCACCTTATATGCTCTCTGGTGGTTTTGTCATGTTAAATCCTTCTGGTGCCTCCGGTTACCAGGATATACAATTTTATACTTCCTGATCTTGTATTTCACTATAACAGACAGTAGAAAATAAAAAAACCGATAGTACCATTCACACTCTGAAGGCAGAGGGACTGTCTACCCAAAATTCTAAGCTGGAAATTTGTTTTTACTTTGCACAATGCAAAAAATGTACCATACAAATGCCACAGTATTGTATCTGCAGGAACGGCTTCACAGCTTGTTTGCTTTTACTGTGACTTGGGGGTGTTCTTAGATCTTCTAAAATCTGCCTAGAGTTTGGTGCTGGCATTACTTCTCTGCAGTACACACAGAGGCTAATTCAAGCTAAAGGCAATTTTAGAATCACAGAATTGCTCAGGTTTGAAAAGACCTTAATGATCATTGAGTCCAACCATGACCTAACCATATTACCCTAACTCTAGCAACCCTCTCCTAAATCATGTCCCTGAGCACCACATCCAAATGGTTTTTAAACATATCCAGGGAAAGTGACTCAACCACCTCTCTGGGGAGCCTATTCCAGTGCGTAACCACCCTTTCTGTACAGAAGTTTTTCCTGATATCCAACCCAAACCTCCCCTGCTGCAACTTGAGGCCATTTCCCCTCACCCTGTCACCTGAGAGCAGTGAGAAGAGACCAACCCTGCTCTCATTGCAATCACCTTCCAGGTATTTGATGAGAGTGATGAGGTCTCTCCTCAGCCTCTTTTTCCTCAGACTGAACAGCCCCAGTTCCTTCAGTCTCTCCTCATAGGGCACATTCTCCAAGCCTTTCACCAGCCTTGTTGACTTTCTATGGACGTGCTCCAGCACCTCAATGTCCTTTCTGTACTGAGGTGCCCAAAACTGAACACAGTACTTGAGGTGAGGCCTCACTAGTGCTGAGTGCAGGGGCAGGATGACTTCCCTAGTCCTGCTCACCACACCATTCCTGATACAAGCCAGGATGCCATTGGCCTTCTTGGCCATCTGGGCACACTGCTGGCTCATATTCAGCCGACTGTCCATCAGTACACAAAGGTCCCTTTCTGTCAGGCAGCTTTCCGTCTACTCCTCCCCAAGCCTATAGGGTTTCCCGAGGTTGTTGCGAACAAAATGCAGGACCTGACATTTGGCCCTATTGAAACTCTCATGGTTTGCCTTGATCCATCGATCCAGTCTATCTAGATCCCTCTGTAGTGCCTTTCTACCCTCCAGCAAATCAACACTCCCTCCCAGCTTGGTGTCATCTGCAAACTTACTGAGAATGCACTCAATCCCCTCATCAGGATCACTGATAAAGATGTTATATCTCAATACCGAGCCCTGGGGGACACTGCTCATGACTGGCTTCCAACTGGATTTAACTCCATTGACTGCAACTCTTTGGGCCAGGCTATCCAGCCAGTGTTTCACCCAGCAGAACATATGCCCATCCAAACCATGGGCAGCCAGCTTCTCCATGAAGATGTTGTGAGGGACAGTGTCAAAGTATTTACTAAAGTCCAGATAGACCACATCGATACCTTCATCCTTACCTTCATCCACTAAGCAGTTACCTTGTCATAGCATGAAGTCAGGTTCAGGTCAAACAGGATCTACCATTCATAAATACCATACCATGCTGGGTTTATGAATGCAGGGCCCAGCCACCTGGTTGACCTTTAATTGATCAATGATGGCTTCTGATATTACCCATTCCATAACCTTTCCTGGAACCAAGGTGAGACTGATAGGTCTGTATCTACCAGGATCATCTTTTCGGCCCTTTTTGAAGACAAGCATGAACAAATTTTGTCTGAGCAAATTTCACTGTGAAGTTTAGTCTTTTAAGTACTGTGATTACAGTGAAATGTGGTTAGTCTAAACTAATTAATCTATACTGAGGATAGCAAGGCTGGTTCGATTATTCATTGGCACAAAATTAACTCCTGTTCTTTGGTAATCAGCAGCAACACAAATAAATACTGTTCATAATATATTGAACTGTTCATTTATTATACAGGCTGCTGCCTGATGCATAGATGGTGTGAAGATGTGGAAACTGCCCCCAGAAACATTTTGCTTTGACTGTTGGAGTGTTGCTCATGGCATGGTATTTATGTGACTACTGTAAAAATAACTTAAACAAGGACAAGGATTTTAATGGATGAAAATATTAAATAATGAATAGGAAAGATTCAGGAGAACAGGAGATCCTGTTTTTGAACAAATAAATATGTCCACACAAGAAATGAAATGTGAATGGTGTGAATGCCACTTAACATCCATCAGAAGAAGAGTACATGGGCACAAGTGGTCCTGTAAAGGACCCTGTGGACTACAGTAAATTTAGTTTGTTTGAGTGGAGTAACAGCTTCCCAACACCTGCACAGACATGCACCACTGCTGTTCTGTTCTCATTCTAATACAGTCAGTGGGTAATCAACATCATCAAGGGACGCTCATAGCAGTGAACCATTGGGAACTGTCTTGAGTAGCTCCAGTGCATTCATCCAGGCAAAAATGTAAGCATGGTGTTGGAAAATAATAGTGGGAGCAAGGATTAATCAGTTATGAGAACAATATGTCTGGACTTAGTCTGTACAAAAAATACCTGATAAAATGCAATAACCTGTTATTTGCAAAGAATGATCTGGAAAGTGGTGACTGAATTAGAGTCAAATGTGACTAAACAGCAGAACGTGAATCTCTGTTGTCTCAGGATAAGTGTGCTTGAGCATTCTCTGTGAAAAGTGCAGTTGTAAAGTAGCAATAGGAGGTGGTACTGTCTTAAGGAAGCTGCCACTCACATCCTTCCTAGTCTCTGTGTACCAAACAGTTTTGTGTAGGAGAGGAGTTCAGAAAAGAAGTGCAAGTCTGTAAAACCTATGTAAGTGTGAGTGATTAAATAAGCTATTTAGTTTCTGTATAAAAGGAGCTTAAAGGACAACTCATTTATTGCACACAAGACAGCTCTTGAACACTGAAGAAAATATTGTCATGGACCAGAACAAATTGATTTTTAAAATGTCCCATGATTATTGGATGAAAGAAATATTGCAGTTGAGTTGCAATGTAACTCCAGTGTGAGCATGGTTTGATATCAAAATGCATTATTACAAGTCTTACACATAGCTGTGTACTTTGTCATATTCTTCATTAGACACACTGGCTTCAACCTGCAGACTAATTTTTAAAATACGAGGCTGCCTGATAAAGCTTGTTTTGTCATTTCTGGTTGCTGACATGAAAGTTTCATTGCTTCTAGAGTCTGTTACATCTGCCCATATCTTTTGGTATTTTCCTTCCTTTGCTTCCGTGACTCCCTTTTACCCTACTTCCCCACATCTTCCCCTCCTTCATCTCTTCTCTGCTGTCCTCCCTCCTTGTACTATCACAGAATATCCCAACTTGAAAGGAACTCATTGTAACCTTTGTAAGGAACGTCCTTTCACAGGGAGTTGGACTAGATGATCTCCAGAGGTCTCTTCTCACCCCCTTCCATAATTCTGTGATCACTGAGTGTAACTCAGCCGATTTTGATTACCCTGGGATAAATCTTATTGGGCTCTGCACATTATATGCATCTCCACTTTCAGATGGAGAAAAAGAGGGATAGTGATCCATGGAGCTCAGACAGTCTAGTACATGAGGAAAAGTGTGTACTTCCCCAGGCACTGTTATACAAATATTTTTTCATGGCATATAAGCTATAAATACAGTGAACAAACTTTTAGCAAAAGGCTCTGGACTCCCATTACTGCTGAAATAAAGTAATGTATGAGCCAGTTTATAGATGACTTATCTGCCATTACACATGTCTCATAACTAGGGAATAGAAGAGGAAAGGGGCTTTAAACAGTTTCTGCATGGAATAGTGTATTTGACTGTTTTGCATCTGTTTGAATGACAACCATATTTGATGCTTCTCACCTAAAAATACAGTTCATTCACATCTTCGCTTCTGATTTCATTGGTAGAACTAATTTATGCCATTCATGTTTTACACTTTTTTTTTCTTTAGTGCAATAAGAATTGCCCTAAAATAGACTTCAGCATTGTTAAAGATAAATATTTAAGAAGAACAGGGTTGGATATTATAAGAAACTCCAAAAGTCCAAATGGGTATTATTTAGCGAAACAGTGGAAGCACCACTCTGTTGTCACTAAAATTAATAAAATTCTAATGACTTCACTATTCATATCACAAGCCTTTTCAGGACAAAATCTCCTCTTAAGACTTTGGGGATTTACTAAAATTATCCATGTTCAGATTTCTAAAGAATAATAGCAAGTATGATCTGTTTCTATCCATTACAAAAAAGGAAAAAAGAAAAAATAACTGGTTTTATTCACGACTCTCAGACTGCAATATTCCTGTTTTAACTAATGATTTATGATTTAGAAGTGTATCTCTAAAATTTATGTTGTATGTTTCTAAAGAAATGAAAGCATTTAAAGTGCCTGTTGTCCACCTATTTAATGCTTTATCATCCTCTTATTTAGTTATAAAACAAATACAGAAATGAAAAGATAAATCTCCATATTCTCACGCTGTACACGCAACATTAATTAATTGAACATGACAAGCTATGTGAAGTATCTGAGTAAGTCAATCTAGTGTCATTTTATTCATGAAGCCCAAAATATAGACTGACAAAGCGCAAGTATGAAATGCATTTCAATCAGTTTAATCAAACAGAGTCAATGTAAAGAACAGGGGCATTGTCAAGATGTGTCAGTGAACATTTGACCTGCCTCGCAGTTAATATTGTTTTGTGCAGTTATCTCTTGAGGGGACACCCTCTCTGTTCTGTATTTCAGTTTTAAATATAATGTATTTTTGATCTTGTGAGTGGCAATCTACAGTAGTAATGGATATAGGAAAGGCATCCCTTGAAAATCACTGTCCACCTAGAAATTGGACATAGACAATCAGAGCAGCCACAGACCTAGGCAATGTTTATGCCTTTCTAAGGGCACCAGACTGCTTCAATAAGACTTCAAGAGCAGTTCTCCGGTAAAATCACTCAGGATTGTTCCAAGGAGATCCCAAGGATGCATTCTCTGTATCCCAACTCTCCCCTGTCTCTTTCCACAATCCTCATGATAAGCAGAGCATCATTCAGGTCTGCGTTCACTTCTGAAAATCTCTCCCTAGGCTTCTTCCCAGTGCTTGATCTAATGCTGTGGTATTTGATCACTCAATATTGGGGACAACATTACTGGTCAAATCATAATGCTGAATAAGTTTGTTCTGCCTTTAAATCCACACTAGGAGATAATAGATAATAAGGCACTTACAATGGCTTTAAAAACTGTTGCTCTGTCTGAAAACTACAAATTGGCCAGGACTTAAATTCAGTGTGTCTGAATATGAATACACAAGCACACCAGAAATTAGAAAAATATCTTTTAACTTTTTGCTCCTAAGTGATGACAGGTGTATAATCAAAGAATTTTAGGATGTTATAATCACAAAATAAACAAGAGAGTTAGGCAAAGCAGACTATGATAACAAAGGAGAATAAATAGAAAGCTTACCCCTAGCCTGGGCACACTCACAAAACACCAGAAGAGGCAATCTCCAGAAGAGATCCTTCCCCCCTGGTAGCCAGCTCTTAAATAGGTCTAGGAGCCAGGCTCCACCCCTTCCGGCAGCATAGGTGAATTGCCTTCAGCTGTGCCCCTGTGGCTGACTCATGGCTCGCCTCAGGTGATCAATCAGAGGTTCAGGCTGTGAGTCAGCAGTTCCCATACAACAGGGCTGTGGGGGTGAGTGAGATATGCAGAACAGCTTTAAAAGCCCCTTGTCGCAGTAATGTTTATTTAAAGGTTTTGTTCCATTTCTTAGAATATTAGCTTTTACTATGTAAATCTGTCACTTTCTAGCTACTATGATCAAGTTCATGTTGAACATGTGGAGCAAGCTAGTTGAAATACAGAGATCTGTGAGAAGAATCCTTAATCAGGGACTGAGTTAGATGCTCAGTCCACCTCAGTGAAGTGATGAACGAAGTCAGGAATGAAGACTGAATTGGTAGTGTTTTGTGCACCTTCTGAGAAATGAAAGGAGAAGGAAATCCACAAATGTTCAAGATTCCAGCACTCTGATAGCTGGCACTTGCCCCCAGCCTGGTCCCTCCCCAAACACAGATGCATAACACCAAGAGCTCAGCAGAGCGCATGAACATGTTGAGAGCAAGCCCAGGGAGTACTCAGGTTTGGAAATCACATTGGACCAGGTTGTATTTTCAGTAGGTGCGCACACACACCCACTAAGTCCATTTTAATGCTCCAAAGACCACGGCTGCACATTTTTCCCAACTTGGGAAACCTGCTGCTGTACAAATCCAAGAAGTTCACAAATCTGGAGGGCTCTCCATCCAGTTCAGTGTTTTCCCCTGATCTCTTGGGACTGCACAACTATGTTCATAGAATTATAGAATGTCTTATGTTGGAAGGTAACTTAAAGATCATCTAGTTCCAACCTCCCAACTGTGGGCAGGGCTGCCCCCCACCAGCTCAGCTGCCCAGGTCCCCATCCAACCTGGCCTTGAGTGCCTTCAGGGATGGGGCACCACAGCTTCTCTGGACTGCTGTGCCAGTGCCTCACCACAATCTGAGTAAAGAATTTCTCCCTGTCATCTAACCTAAATCTCCCCTCTTTTAGTTTAAAGTCATTCTCCCTTTCCTATCATTATCAGATCAGCTAAAAAATGTTGGACAGTCAGCTCCCTAGCCCTGCTGGCCATCCGTCTTTTGATGCAGCCCAGAACACAGTTGGCCTTTTGGAGTGCAAGAGCACACTGCTGGCTCATGTCCAGCTTTTTGTCCATCAGGACTCCCAAGTCTTTCTCAGCAGGATTGCTCTCAGTGAGTTCTCCTCCCACTGTGCTCATATCTGGGATTGCCTAGACCCAAATGCAACACCTTGCACATGGCCTTGTTAAATCTCTTTAAATTCTCATGTGCACATTTTTCAATCGTGTGCAGGTCCCTCTGATGGCATTCCTCTCTTCTATTGTGTCAACTGCATCACTCAACTTGGTGTCATTTGCAAACTTGCTGAGGGTGCGCTCAATCCCACTGTCTACATCATTGATAAAGATGTTGAAGAGCACTGGTCCCAAGACTGACCTCCTGGGGGACGCCACACATGACTGGCCTCATGACCTGGGCATAAAACTGTTGACAACAATCCTGTGGCTATAACCATCCAAACACCTCCATCCAAACTCCAATTTTGAAGTATTGTGAGTTCAGTTGTATGACTTTAGAATGTTTTCTGCTTCAAACTTTGCAGGGATGAGTTTCAAACTACATGAAAAAGATGACTAACTGCAGTTTAACAAATCACAGGGAAAATTTGTGCCTCATTCAGACTTTGGAGACACACATGTATTAGTCTTATTTATTTGAACTGATTTATTCTTTCGTAACCAACAAACTTGGATGGCCAGAATGGTTTTAACTGTATTATTTTGATATTTGCAGCATTTTCAAATACTATTTCACTTAGTCCTTTCTGTTTTCCATGTATGCTGCTTGGTCCTTGACAAAAACATTTAACAATGTGAAAGTGGAATATTTTTCTGCTACAGACTTAGACCTTCTGAAGAGCCTAATCAAAACCAGATTTTTTTCTTTAATTGGAAAAGAAATGAGTGTTTTGCACTATACACTAGCTAGTTAATGCTATCATAAGCAACTCCCTATTAATCACGTACCATTTTTTGCAGCTGTGTACAGTAACTGACCTGCCTAGATACACTGTAACTGAAGCAATTAAGGATCTTTTGTATTTTTTATGTAATTACCACTTCTGAGCCAGGTTGCTAAATACTTGGGACTTTTGGGGGGGTAGTTTCAAGGTCATTATATTTTCGTTCATCTCATTTCCTAGGAAACCTATTTGCAGACTTGCCTAAAGCATCTCAGATACTGTACATTAAAGTATGGCGAATTAATTTAATCCTACTTCCTTCCACTCAGTAGGTGAATGTCCATTTTTCCAATGCATAATACCTGCTATATTTTTAAATTGTAAACTATTCCTGATTTTAATGATGCAAACAATGGAGAGAGCAAATAAGCTAAAGGAGCTAACACATTTATCTCCACATTCTGCCATCTGTTTGAAACTGCTGATGTAATTCCAGTTTTAAATTACATTAGATCCTGCCTTCTGGACCCCTTTCCCTATTTCCTTTTTTTTTTTTTTTTTTTTAATTTTTTATTTAAGGCTTTAGAGAAAGCAGTGCCTTCAGGTTGTTGACTACTTAATAAGAAACTGTGTCTTTGACTGTTTTCAATCTGGACTTAAAAGTGGGTCTCCTGGAGAAAGATGTAGTAATAGCTTCATTTCTGAGAGATGAAACTTATTCTCTGTGTGCAATTTAATGAGATCTGTTTTCAGCAATAGTGCTAGCAACCAGCAGATTTGTTTATATTGAAGAAACGGCAGAGATTAAGGGTTGTGTTTTTGCATACTCTGTTGCCTACTGATGGAATTTCTAGTTTTGTCTCCCTGCTTCTGCTTTAGAACTAGTGTAATTTATTCCTTGTAGTCACTCCACCTTATTTCACTAGTTTAATTAACAGCCTTTTATTTATTTTTCTCGGTATTTCCTTTACCTTTTAAAGACGATGGAATCTGGTGATATCTTGTTATGAAACACTTTGTTGTCTGGATTTGATACTAATGCTGATCTTTTAAGGATTTACCTAAAGGGATACTGGTCAGGATCTGTCCAAATCTATCAAACATATAGCTTGAATTTTGCACTGTCACATTAAAGCACTGAGGTCGTGATTCCAATTTTAAAAACATATCACAGAAATCAAATGAATGTATTTTGTTTCACTTTGTTTTTTTCCTTCTTTCTTTTGTTCCATTCATTGTTTACTCAAAGAATAGTCAGAAGGATAAAGATTTGGGAAGGATAGACCCTATACTAAGAAGTTTGTGGAGTAAGCATAACTTCTCATTTGTATTAATCTCAAAAAACTAGAACGCCTAATTAAAAACAAAGACAAATACAATTCAAGCTGCATTTTATTTATCATGGTGCAATATTTTTTCACAAACATGTTCTCTAAAGTTGTGAATAGACATTATAACAATTGAAGAATAATTCAGTTTTTAACATTATTGAACGTCTTACCCAATTAGAGTTACCAAATCATGTCAGGCAAAAATCTGAAGAAAAAAACACAGAAACACACCGGTTTGATTCTAATCCTTTTACAGCAAATTTAGTTTTAAAATAAAAAATAATTAAATTGTACTATATTTTTTTTCAAATTTTATTTGGAAATTTTTAAAATATTAAAATGAAAACCCACAAAATTAAAACTTTCTGGTTTGATTTGGTAAGAAAGCAGACATCAGGTTCATTTTGAATTTAATGGATGATTCTGTCATTCACTATTTAACTGAAAAAAGAAAAACAGAAAAAAAGTTATTATTTAAATTTAATTAAATGTAGAATTTATAACACCTAAACAATTCTAGTCCTTTTACTGAGGTAGCTAGAAGCTACATGTGGAGTTGAATACACATCTTAAAACTGTTTGATTCAGCTCCCAGAATGGTAGCAATTTTGATCAATCACAGATATCAATTTTGTTATCAGTCAGATCAGTTTTGATAATCACTGATCATTCTAAATCTAAAATGTGAAAATTTTGGTGATTAAAATACAACAGACTTACTGTAGGCTTTCTACTTTCTACTTTGTATTCAACTACTGAATCAAGCGGTTGAAATAAAGAGGTGACCAACTGCTGGGAATGTTGGTGATTTTTTGCCAGTGTGTTTGTGCTTAGCCTGACACTACCTGTAGTGGAAAATCTGAATGTAGAGGTGAAATATTCCCTTTGTAGCCCAGCACTGCCATCCCTGGCTGGATGGAAATGGAAAAAGTCAGCAGCTTTCCATGTACTGTTGAAAAATAAGGTGAGTGGTACAATCTACAGTTCTGACCTCTTGTATTTTCAGGGTCTACTAAAGAACCATGTAAACTATTTACTCTATATTTTTGTATAAGAAAATTTTCAGTGGTGATTTATAGCATAAAAGTTACACCAGAGGGATTCACGTATAACCGTGTATATTTTTAAAATAGGTCTTAAACTTACAAACATGCTAAAATGTTGTCAGTTACAGCTTGCCTTAGGAGCTCATATCAGCTTTTCATGGGTACAGGTAATGGGCAGAGCAGAGCAAAGAGTGTTGATTTTCTGCTTACAGAAATACTATTAACTTCAAGAACCTGAACAATATTTCCCAAACAAAGAATTTATGACTCCACCTTGGCCTGAGAGGAAAAAATAATTAAAGTCACATTATTTCTTCAAATACTCAGACTCTAAATATTTGGTAACCAGCTCCCTGTTGCGATAATGCTCTCCCTTCTGCACAGAATTTGTATTCTAGACCTACATGAAATTAGTATATGAAATGAACAGAGTGAATGATTTGTTAGAAGAACTTTTTGTTGTGAAAATGTAATGAATATTTCATGGTTCAAATTCAAAGCAACTATAAATCTAAAATATCAAGTTTTGCTGTGATGCATAAAAACCATTCATCATAACTGCTAAATACAAACCATATTCACTCCTGGTAAGAACCATAAATATGACAAGAAGTACCGAAAGAAAGTTGTAGTTATGGCTAAGAAGGAGTCTATGGAA